GTTTAAAATAAAAACATGAATATATGAACCTGTGTATTATTTGAATAGCTTAGTATTGAATGCACAATAACAAGGTATGTGTCACGGGGTGTGATTGTGGACTCAAACACAGGCACAGACCAGGGATTATAGGTGAAAGGTTTATTGACAGGAAACCAAGGGGGGGGGGAATAACCAGAGCACAGTGTGAAAATCCAGGGAGTGTGAAGGTGGAATCCAGGCAGGAGGAGGTATGGCAGGGCAGGCAGACTGGGGAACCGGGAGGATAAATAAACTGCAGGAACAGAGAGACAGGGTCAAAGCACTGAAAAAACACTTGGGAGATAACTCTGAATTATTTAAAAACAGAGCGGCCAAGAACAACTAGCTACCACATGAGCTGTAATAAAGATCTGGCGAAGAGTGGATGAAGAACCGGGGTAGATATACTGTTGGTTTGACGAGTTGATGGAATGCAGCTGGTTTGACTGGGCAGGTGAGGTGAGTTGTAATTAGGAAGCCGGGAGGCGACCAGGTCGGAGCCCTGCCCATATGATACACACACACACCCACACAGGAGGCACGGCCTGGCCGTGACAGTATGTTTATACATGGCACTAGGCCCATTTAATATAAAACACAATTTTATACAATATATATAGTCGGGGGTCCCTGCTCCATCTCTCTATCAGTTTGGGGATCCTTGACCTGAAAAAACATTGAAGACCCCTGCTCTAGTGAAAGTGGGAGCTCACCTTCGTCACATTGCTCACGGCTATGCAAAGTCTAGGGATGACAGCAGCTGCACTGGATGGCACTTATGTAAGAAGGCGCTCACAGAGGGTCTAATCAAAGCGGAGCATGTTGTCATCAGATGTGTGCAACATGAGGAGTATGCAATGGAAATCAAGTGTCTGCATGCAAAACAAGACTTCCCATCCAATAGTTCTCTATGAAAACTTAATCCTATCATAGATTCTGATGCCTTGCTTCGAGTGGGAGGACGCCTCTCAAAGAGATGGGCTGTTCTGTTCACTTGCCTGTCAACAAGAGCAGTCCACATTGAGGTGATAGAGAGTTTGAATTCCTCCAGTTTCATTAACGCCCTCCGCAGATTCTTTGCTATTAGAGGGCCTGCAAAACAACTGAAGTCAGACTGTGGAACAAATTTTGTCTGCACATCCAAGAAGCTGAAGTTGGACCATCCACACCCAGGAGAAGCTAGTGTTGAGGACTACCTGCTCAGCCAGCGATGTCAGTGGGTTTTCAACCACCCCCCCCATCTCACATGGGTGGGGTGTGGGAGAGAATGATTGGGAGAGCACGAAGTATCCTAGATTCCATGCTCCTGCAAGCTGGAAATCCAAAGTTGACCCACGAAGTCCTTACAACTCTGATGGCAGAGGTTTCAGCTATCCTCAATGCAAGACCACTCGTGCCTGTCTCTTGCGACCCAGAAGTACCTTTTATTTTGACCCCTTATACTCTTCTCACTCAGAAAAAAGGGGTCCCTGAAGTTCCTCCTGGAGATTTCACCAAGATTGATATGTTCCAACACCAGTGGAAGAGAGTTCAGGTCTTGGCTGACATCTCTTGGTCTCGATGGCGGAAAGAGCACCTGAGCACGCTTCAAAGCCACCGGAAATCGTTTCACAACCAGCCAAACCTTAATGAGGGAGATATTCTGATGGACAATCTAGCAAAAAGGAATGAATGGCCGATGGGTATTATTGTGAAGACTCTACCAAGTGAAGACGGACTTGTCCGAAAAGTAGAGATTGAAGTAATCAGAAACAAAGTAATTAAAACCTTCTTCAGAACTATCACAGAGCGTATACTCCTTCTGTCCCCAGAAGACTAGATGATTGGTTGGCATCACCACTGATGCCAGGCGGGGAGTGTAATGACTTGTATTTTATTTGAGTATTTTATTTGAGAAATTACTGCCACCTAGTGTTAAGTTGTTACGGTTATCCCCCAGTGTTCACCTACTATACAGGTGCTGGTCATATAATTAGAATATCATCAAAAAGTTGATTTATTTCACTAATTCCATTCAAAAAGTGAAACTTGTCTATTATATTCATTCATTACACACAGACTGATATATTTCAAATGTTTATTTCTTTTAATTTTGATGATTATAACTGACAACTAAGGAAAATCCCAAATTCAGTATCTCAGAAAATTCGAATATTGTGAAAAGTTTCAATGTTGAAGAGACCTGGTGCCACACTCTAATCAGCTAATTAACTCAAAACACCTGCAAAGGCCTTTAAATGGTCTCTCAGTCTAGTTCTGTAGGCTACACAATCATGGGGAAGACTGCTGACTTTGACAGTTTTCCAAAAGACGACCATTGACACCTTGCACAAGGAGGGCAAGACACAAAATGTCATTGCAAAAGAGGCTGGCAATCACATTATATTTCTTTAAATGTGCCTCCTGGCAGTAGATTTAATGGAATGCATCATCGAATGAGATGTTACAGTGAAAATAATGATCTCAACTCTTTCAGAATGATTAGATAAAAACAAGCCCAAAGAGTATCTAATTGATACGAATTAATAGATGCTCATGAGGATATATGTACTGTATGCGCATATGTATCATGTACTATATATGTGTATATACATGTATGTGTAGATTACCATATAGAACTAGGAGTTTGAATATGTGTGTGTGAATCTGTGTATGGGCGGATCAGTATGTATGTATGTATTATTCATAATCAGAAATTCAATCAATTGAAGCAGTGAAAAGAAATTGTGTGTGATTCTCTCTATTCTTATCATGAGTCCACCTTAATCATTTTCTACAATAATGATATGCTATGGTGTACATATAATTATGAGTGCTTTCAACCCCCATGTAGTTGCAACCCAGCCATCAAAAGGACATGGGAGCAAGTAAAAACAAAGCACAAAACATTATTCAGAGTGGTGAGTCAATCCAATATGTGCCATATATATAATAACAATATAATACAGTAAATACGGCAAACAATTTGGGTAAGCCTTTTATATGTTTCAGTGAAAATTGTTTGATGAGTGAAAATGGTAAGTAATGGATATTGCTTACAATCAGGTTATGTAAAAACAACAAACTAAGTTTCCAGATGACCTGTGCGCCATCTGCTGGGAAGTTAGTTATCGTTGTGTCGATATCGACGGCAATACATGTGTTTAAAGAGCACTGTGGTTTCTACTATAATGAGTGTATCAAATGATAATATGAAACCCTTTTTTTACAATAAGTATGGTTATAGAATAATTCATTATTTGTCAAATAAAAACAATTCATTTTATTATGCCATTTAGTTATTCTACGGAGTCAACAATTCGCAGTAATACATTTTGGACAGTAGCGTCTTACGTAAGCCTAACTAAGGTTCTTGCTTGTCTATCGCTTCTATTTCTATGTCTGGCTCGTGAGCACACTTCCTCGCGAGTCGCAGCCTTGCGCGTTCCTTTCCATCCGCGTGCCCGTGGGTTGTGCTGCGTGTCTACACTGAGGGGTTCCAACAGTCGAGAGAAATGCCGACAAAAATCATCTTTGAAACTGAAGATCAAGCCATGGATGACGGCGTAGACACTGTCGCGGAGGCTAAACCCCGAAAGGTGAGCAGCGTGACTCGTGTCGCCCTGGACAGACTAAAATAACCGTTTAGCTCGTGCTACGCCTCGTCCCCGGCGACTCCATGTTTAACAACATGTGGCTCAACGTGCTAGCCCTCGGCTAACCGGCCAGCTAACTGTTAGGTAACCACCGTAAGATAGGTTTATGGAGCGATACTTGTAGTGAAATGTTATAAACATAGTGTAGTGTGACAGTGTGTGAATTAAGAAAATGTACGCGATCCACTGCTAAGTTATTGTTGGCATGCATTGTTATCTTAGCCTAGCTAAAAGATCGCAAGTGAGCTGATCTGTAGATCACATGGACGTACGGGTGGGACAACGTGGACGCCTTTAACACCAACTCCGTGTATGTCTGCGCTCTGGGCGCGACCTGATTACGTTTTATACAGCTGGGCTCGTCAGCTGTTCGTCAAGCAGACAAAACAACCGTCTTAAAACAGTGAAGATCGTCTTCAAGATTGCCCCTTTAATTACAGCTGCTACTGATGTTAACTCAAGCTCACTTACAGTAAGAGGAACTCTAGTCTGGATTGTCTCCAGTAATTATCTTTGATACATAATCGTGCACGCTACTTTATATAGTGTCAACTTATGAAAAATAGTTATATTTACATAAAATGTCATATGAATCACAATATGATGTTATTGGAGAATGATATTCATTAAATTAGCGTATTACTTTTATTGTATGTGGTATCAGGTGGAAATGTTGACATGTATCTCTAGTGTATGTGGCCATATTTCTCAATTAATCTGCTCATATTCCATTAACGTGCTTATTACATAGTTTATCTGCAAATGTACCAAACTGAATGAAGCGCCCTCTGAAACACATGGTATACTTTATTTGAGACTACCTCCGCCACGATTAACTAAAACAGTGCGCTTCACAGGAGTGAAACCAGCTTTGATATTAACCGCCCATCTCTAATTAGACCTTAATTGAAATTGCAACATGATGAGATAACTCCAAACTAGATTATACTCAAGCAGCCAACATTTTTCTCTCTTAAAACGTTGAGTAGCTGCACTGTATTTGCACAGGTTTAACTGAATCCTATTTGTCTTTATTAACCAGACCAAAGAGGGCAAAAAGCTGAAAACCAAGAAGAAGTTTGAGGACCAGGAAGAGCAGGAGGACCCAGACTGTGAACCTCCGGCACCAAAAAAAAAGAAAAAAAAAGACAAGATTACGGTGGACCAAGTGACCGACCTCATAGAGGAGGCCGCAGACATGAACGGTAACAGTAATGGTGTTGACCCACCAGAGAAAAAAAAGAAGACGCAAAAGAAAGCCATAGCAGAGGCTGAAAGGAACGGACATTCCATCCCAGACACCCCCGCACAGACACCGGCCCAGTCAAGTGAAGACTCTGCCAGCGAAGGCGAGAAAGAAAAGGTACGACTCACAGACTGATGTTTTAGTTTTGTTCCTCTCAGGAGGAGTTGAACGTTTGTGTTGTTACTGAATGTGTGATGACTCAGCGATGTGGCGTTTAGAATAAGTGGTGAAGTGTGAGCGACCACCATGAAAGCTGTTACTGAATACTTCTTACATTTCTGTTTTATTATATATCGAGGAAATGGCCATTCTGTAGTCTTTTACGTGCTCCTGTGAGTCGAAGCGTAGCTGCTCGTATGACATGTCGGATAAAAGTCGAGGCAGTGCAGTTAGTGTTTGTTACCAACAGTGGGCTGGCCTGCAATATGAGAAGCTCCCAGAATATTGAAAATATTTTAGGATTAAGTAACAAAACAACCACAACATAACTGTAAAGCAACTTCTTTCACCACTCGGCATGTTTTCAAGCATTTACAAGTTTCTCAAATTAAATTACTCCGGTTAATTTAAATTGGCTGTTGTCATTTCGTCTGACTTTGTTCATTTGTTTAGGAGGAAACACCAGAGCAGAAGGAAGGGGCCTTCTCCAACTTCAGGATCTCCCAATTCACCATTGACAAACTAAAAGGTAAACCTCAAATATTTACATCTTCATACCTTAGTTTTTACCAGAGGTGAACTGATGCTTATAACATATTAATTGTTTCTGAACTGCTTTTTTTTAATAGAATACACATGTTTTTTAATATTGAAATAAATGACTAATTCATACACACAACTCTTTTTGTACTGAAAATGTACTTTGGAGTGTTAACTGAGCTTTGGTGCTGCTGCAAGGCCTTTGGGGCGTCATAAAAAACGAATGACCATCTTCTCCTCCTCACTCTCTGTCACCACTCTCTGCCATTTTCTCAGCTCGGGGAGCCTCTTACCTGTTTGACATTCAGATCAAGACATTCAATGCTGTATATGATGGCGAGGACGTCATTGCCCAAGCCCGAACAGGAACAGGAAAGACTTTCTCATTTGCCATCCCTTTGGTGGAGAAGCTCCAGACGGAGTCGGTGGCGTTCACCAGAGGCCGGGCTCCCAAGGTGCACACACACACACACACACACACACACACACACACACACAGAAACAGAACCACCGTCTCACCGATCACTAAAAACCAGCATCAGTCGGAGTCCCACTATTCATTTGTTCTCTGACTATGTTTGTGTGTGACTGAGTGTCTTTTCTGTCTGGCTGTAGGTCTTGGTGTTAACTCCAACCAGAGAGTTGGCTATCCAGGTGGCAAAGGACTTCAAAGACATCACCAGGAAGCTGGCTCTCACCTGTTTCTATGGAGGCAGCTCATACAACCCACAGCGTAATTATTTTAAGAGTCCATTTATTTACATTGATGGCTTCTTTATGTTTAATCTTATTAAAATGTATAACATGACCATGTAAATACCAGCTCCTTATTTGTATTTTGATGTGGTTTTCCCCTTCTGTCTAGTTGATGCGATCCGTAGTGGTATCGATATTTTGGTCGGCACCCCCGGA